CCTTCCGAGTCCGAATCGTAAACGATAATGACTTCAGGTTCAGGCTCGGGCATGATGGTTATCCCTCAACAAGGTGTGATAAGAAGTGACAATCAGATAGACTGGGACTACTTCAATTAAGAGCCAGTCTGAAGCAAACAAGACCCGCTTGAATCGCCTCGAAGGGTCTTGAGAAGGAATTGAGCTGACTTGCCAGAGGACCGAAAGCTATCTTGCCGTCGATCCAGTGAGTGGTGCAATAAAGGGAGACGGGAGATACTTGAAGAAGGACGGAAGCCTCTTGTGGTGCGCTGAAGGCCCGCATGTGTATCAGGATGATGGATGTTTGGAAGAGAGAAGCGATTGCAAGAAGGAAGGTTCAACTGGTCTCATTCTCCTTGTTACAGTTGTACACACTGGTTGACTCTACATTGATCCACGTGTGGGGTAAACCTATGCATAATGCCCAGTCTGACGCGCTAAAATGCGGGGTACAAGAAACCACGTGTCTGGTTTCCTGCCATCACGCTCACGGCTTACATAATGGGGAGTGCTGACCGTCATAACCGAACGGTGACAGACGAGAAAGATGAACAACCTTCGACGGTTCTCGCGCTACGTTTGTTGCCTTCGCTCTTCTCTTCCAGCGATTCTCGTTCGTCTCATCTAGCCTCTCCAGTAGTAGCAGAATACGACTCATCATCATGGTTGCCGACACTATCCATGTACACTCTCATCTCGCCGGGCACCCTTCGTACCATATTTTGGGCCATGAAATCGGTGAGTTTCCGAAATGTAATCTGCTTACCATATCTTCATGGCCTGACGTCAGCTGACCTTCTGATCTGGATAACATAGTCCTTGACGTGCCGATCACAGCTTTGATTCTGTCGGCTATCGGAGCGGCCTTCCTCCTTCGATACACCCTTTCCATCTTCCGACTTGCCCTCGAATTGGCTGTCCTCCCAGGGAAAGACGTGAGCTTCCGTCTCTATATCGTCTTTATACTCTGTGTGGACGTAGGATCGGTCAGCTCATCGATATTTATCCTCCTGACGTGATCTGTCAACAGGTGAAATCGTTGCAATCTCGTCAAGGCGGTACTTGGGCCTTAGTCACTGGTTGTACATCCGGTATCGGCCTCGAGTTTGCCCGTCAGCTGGCCAAGAGGAAGTTCAACGTCATCCTCATCGGAAGGAGAAAGCACGCCCTCGACGAGGTCGCTCAGGAGCTTGGTAAGCTCTCTCTTGCTTCCTTAATCATAGCTCCACTCCTCTCAGATCCGGCGCATCCACATCGAGCTCGGCTAACGGGCGGTTTTGGATTGTGATGTGTTTGTAACGTAGAGAGCAAGTTCGGCGTCCAGACCAAGTCTGTTGTCGTGGACGTTGCCGCTCCCGGCTCTGCTCGAGACGAGGCTCTCTCTCAAATCGAACTTCTTGCCAAAGACCTCGACCTCGGCGTGTTGAGTGAGTCAACACACACCCTGAGTCTCCGTCGGAGCGCGAAGCGGTAACAACTGACGCATGGACGATCTTTGTCTAGTCAACAACGTCGGTGCTTCGCACAATATGCCTGTTGCTTTTGCCGAGACTGAGCGAAGCGAGATGAACCAGATCATCGAGACGGTGAGCGCGAGCCCTCAAGCACTCGACTATATAACACTGGGCCGACTCAAATTTTTCGTCATGACTCTTCTTGACCTATAGCCTATACAAGTGCTGATAGCGGATCTTAGAACGTCGCCTGGACCCTCCTCCTTACCCGCGCCGTCATCCCATCTATGATCGCCCGTTCGTCTGCTGGCGGTAAAGCTCGAGGTCCCAAATCGCTCATCATGACTATCGGTTCTCTCTCTGGGCGAATCCCTTCGCCATTACTCGCTACCTACTCTGGTACCAAGGCTGCGTTGTCTACCTGGACCAAGGCGCTCGCCGAGGAGGTCAAACCTCAGGGCGTTGTCGTTGAACTCGTCCAGGCTGCGTTCGTGGTGAGTGACGGCAGGAATCCCTGGTTGTGGCAGACCCTTCATATCCTAGCTGTGTTACTGTACCATTCTCACCCATTGCAATCTCGTTCTTCATGCTCCTGTGGCTCCTGTGCGATCACCTTTTCGCCATTTACCATGCTACGGAAAACGATGCAGCGCTGACTCAAAATTCTCGCCATGTACATCCTTCTATGTGACTCCTTGCAGGTCTCCAACATGTCCAAGATCCGAAAGTCTTCCCCTTTCGTCCCTTACCCTGCCACCTTCGTCCGATCCGTCCTCACGTCCATCGGCCTGCCCCGAGGCGCCCAAGGTCGACCTCACGAGCGAACTCCCTTCTGGACCCATGCGCTCTTGGACTATGCTGTCGGTTTCGCGGGCTACGTCTCGGAGATTACAGGGATCAGGGTCATCTTGGGCATGCACAAGGATATCAGGAAGAGGGCCCTGAAGAAGGCCGAGAGGGCTGCCAAGAAGGAGTAAGGCTAGAAGCAGGTTGGGACGGTCGGAGAACGGCCAGTGATTGCTCTTTAAGGAGGACCGAACAAGGAAGTTCTTCGATGTGAGACGGTCGAAACGTTGAACTAGACGTGATGTGAGAGATTGTCACATCACTTATCGACGTGGCGTATCTCGTATGTGTAGGAAAGAATTGGAAGGGGGTTTGAAAAAGGCGGGGAATTCGCATAGTGCGGTTTTCAAACCATATGACATGCATGTTCTACAGAATTTATCGAACAACAGATTCATATCGACCAAGATCGTGCTCGCAATCTACGCGTATCTCTGTACTAAGGAGCTCTATCTGTATGACGGTCTATAGGGCTTTCGAGCTGAAAGTCGTTCTCTGTCTTATTGTACATGTATCTACGAGCACAGGGAGGCACCTAATCGACATCATCATTATTCTCTTCCTCCTCGTCATCATCTCTTGCAATCTCCTTATCGTCCTTGTCAATCTTCTTGTCAGGTGCTGGCGCACTAGTATGTACAGCCCCGCCCTTGGCTTCCAAAGCCCTCTTAGCTTCCTCATCGACAATCTCAAATGCCACGCTGAAATGTACCGATGTATCGGTGCCGACGGGTGATTGGCCAGCCGGCGGTCGATTCTGGCAGACGTATGTCACTGCGTGTGTTGTTGTGTCAAGCCAGGACGAGGTGTACGATGAAGCGGATGGTCATTCGTTAGCTCACATCATATTACGGTATTGTCATCCCATCCAAGGCTGATCAATGGTAATTGGGTGAATGTGCGAAGCGGTGTGCTGTTCCCTCTCTTGGAAGAGGAGCCATGGAAAAGTAAAGAAGCAGAAGTTTCAACTGGGCAAGAACAGGGGATGGAATAGGCAGTGAAGCATCCTAATCACCCGGCTGACCATCCCAGTACTTGAGTAGAGGGATCGACAATGAGAATGGAGGCGGCAGTTGTGCCGAAAGCGTGTTGAAATCTGGATGGAACGTGTCAAGAGCACGCATGATTTCATTAGCTTCATATCTATTTTTCTGGATCATCAATTCACTTGCAACGGAAACTTTGAGGATGATAGATAAGAGGGAGCTGACTTACCCAGCAGGCCATTGCAAAATTCCATACCTACGAAGGTATCCTTCGGCACGGTGATCTGCCGACGGTTATCCTTCTTCCCTAACCATTTCCGTCGAGCGGAAATTTGAGCCTTCTCATCCGTGTCGGTGTATGATAGAGTATCTGATTGCGGTGGCGACGAACGAGGAGGCAAGACGGGAGAAAAACCAAGTCAGCTCTAACCATGGACAGTATGATCCCAATATGACAGGTCGAGAGTAGGATAGCTGGGGTTTTGCCCGTCTTGAAATTCCGAAAAGGTAGAGAACACTGATGAACTCACCGCCTCCATTGTCTTCGAGCCATTCTCCCGTGTCTTCAGTAACGTATACACCGTTATTCGTACTCTCGCTTGAAGCTGATGAAGCCAAGGACAAGTGGCTCATCGTGGCCAAAGCGGGCGACAGGGCCCAAGGCTTGTCGGCGTATATGTCTGCTTCAACAGTCGGATCTACGAAGCTGGATGGACATTCGTAGTGAGTATAACGTTCTTAGCCGTACATTGAAAGCATCACATAGACTCACTACATGAACTTGGTGGCGATACTTGTGCCCCATGGTAGATTATCCCGGATAGGCTTCTCGAACACATTTCCGAACAGGACCTCATCGGCATTGAAATCGTCTTTGAATTTGCCTGATTCCATCCAGCCCAGGCAGTCAACGTTGTACGGACACATTGATCAGCTACCCGCCCATCCCCTTATGTCTGTCTCACTATGAGCGTAGCCCAGCGAGACCAAACTCTTTCCCTGGCGTGTTTCATCCTGCCCCGAGCACCCTAAGCACAGGATAGGGCTTTACACACTCACCTTTCACGACAATCCCATAGCTTATGCCGTCCCTCCCCTTGAAGTATTCATCCCCATCACCGGCTTTATGGTCTCCATTATAACCTTTCACGAACACCCATATACTGCCCTCGAAACCATCGGTGATCAATGGTGTGGGTTCAGTTGCGTTCACAGGGCAAGGGGCGGTCGGAGGGTATCCTTTGCCTCCCTTGGAAGGAATCAAGACGCGCAGTCGAGGTGCCATCGCGAATCAGTGTATGAGTGAGCGAGTGAGTAGGTAAATCACCAGGTAGCTGTAGAGGCAACGAGTATATCGTTTGAATGAGAAACGATTAATGCTTATACGGTTGGACCAGCAGCATTGAAAACATAACGTCGAGTGACCTCGCACATATGACGTAGCCGCGCATTGCGGCCCAATTGCGCATGCATGCTGCCACCACACAGACCCCAGCAGTGACATGGTCGTCTGAGCCTGTTTGAAATAGTGCTGGGGATGATGCATGCATTGACAATCCTTGTCAAAAACGTCCACTGACTCTGAGGTATTTCCATGCATGGACTACTGCAGTGGGATTCACCATGCTGCTATGTGTCGCCTATACAGAAAAACCTATATATATTTAACGCACAGACCGTCACAAACAACTTCGGTCCTGTGATGTAGTTGGTTATCATGTGGACCTAATACGCAGTCGGCTTCGATTGTACAAGTATTTAGTCCAATGTCGCCAGTTCGAGCCTGGTCGGGATCAATTTTTTTCGCGCTGTGGCTTCCCATCCCCACAAGTACCCTCCCTTTGCAATGCAATGTTCTGATATGCATCAGCACCAAATGCAACGGCGCCCGCGGTTATGCCCGAATTGAACTCACTTCATTGCATTGACTCGTTTCATCGTCGTCTACTGGCTTGAACGTGTCTCCTAAAATCTATCATCCATCTTTCTCTTTTCTTGCGTGTTCTGTAATACCTCAGCTCCGACTCAATCTTACCGACGTCGCTTCGAAGTAAGGGTCTCGAGAAAACAAGCAGCGAAGCGAACGTATCACGAACGAATTGTCGACGACTATCGGAGCTACCAACCTCACTGGCGTTTCGCGCAGCGCACGCATGCACGCATCAAAAACATAAATTGCCAAAGCGAAAGTGAAAGCGAAAACAATCGATTTAATCTGTTGTTGATAGGAACAGAAACATTCCACAGGACGCGAAACGACCCATACCTGCTCGTCAATTGCCTTGGATCTACCAACACGAATACCGACACCCGTGCCGACCATGGGTATCTTTGATTTCCTGCCGTGTTGTGGACCGCGTAAAGACAAGGTCAAGGATGTCGAGTCTGTACGTGTATCGTGTATCCATCCGCTGGTTTCCCTCTTCCATGTGTATATATATATTTATATATACAATCGTGCCAATCGTAGCATTCTCTACCCAGTCATAGAAAGTCCTTTGCAAGACATCCCAGCTGACTTACACGACTGTATTTCTCTACGCTTTTCATCTTCGCGCGCCTCGTGCCCGTTTCTCCATATATCCGTGTCTGATATCTGCTCACGCTTGTTCGTGACCGATATCTCATCATTGGGTCTTACGTTCTGTCGTGACCGATTTGATATGATATGATATGATCGGGTCTTCGGTCTTGCGTTCCCCTCGCACCCGTGTCTCGGTTTATTCGTCCGGCTCCCCGCTCATCCTCACGTCCACAGACTGCAGAAGCGGCCAACCTCCTTCCTCCCGCCCGCGAAGAATCGATCATCTCAGCCGATGGTGTAGGCGGTTTGGCGGGTGGTTATGGGTCCACGGAACAAGGGTTGACGGACGAGCAGAGGTTGAGGATCGAAGCTATCGGGCGACAGGTCGGCAAGTGAGTACTGGATACTGAATACTGAATTCTGGTATGGTCGATGGTCGATCAGAGTTGAGTTGAAGAAGGAGAGCTTTCTGCTTTCTGGTCCTGTGTAAGACTCTTGCTGATGACCAACCCATCTGACCACTTCCTTGCCTCCCAGCCACATGCTCCCCATCCACTCAATACCTCCCGCCCAACGCTCGTCGCCCTCATTATCCAAACATTCGCACTCGCAAAGCCACCGAGCGCTCTCTCCCTCACGATCTCGATCTCGCTCCACCTCACTCTCCGCTTCGGGGTCGATAGAATCGTCATCCAGACCTTCATCACCTTCTCCCATGCGGAAAAAACCCGACGACGCGTCCTCGCCCGCGATCTTCGCGGACGAGTACAGAAAAAATGGGGATGACGATGATGGGGTGGTTATTAGGAAAACGTTGTTTGCCGGTGGGACTGGAGGCGGTGGAGGTGCCGGCGGCGGTGGCGGTGGTGGTAGAAAAGTCAGCTCAAGGGGCGGCAGGGGTGGAAAGAGGGGTCGAGGCAGGAAGTAACCAAGCGAGCAAGTGAGGTACGCGATGATCGACCAGAGTCAGTGAGGGGACAACCGTAGGAGTGGAAGTGGCATGGAAGTGTTCGCGATAATGTGCATTACCGTTTCGGAGCCGGCAAAGGAGGACACCAACCATTCGCGCTCCAACGCTACGTCTTCGGAAGACTTCTTCGCTCTGCGATTCTGGCCTGGATTACCCGAACGCGGAATCTATTTCAACCTACCCATATGAGGAGGTATTCCAAGATTTGATCGTATCGCCGTCCTTGAAATTGAACTCATAATCATCTTCACCAGCTCCCGTAACAAGACGAGAACAGGTGTTGACTGAATACGACGGCCTCGGACCTGACGAAAGCAGGAGGAAAGCTGCCGTGCCTTCCGTTGATTCACGTAGAGCTCGAGATGAGGCATCGTCTATCTAGTCTAACTCGAAAGAAGGCCTTTGAAGAGGTCCGCGATTTTGCCCTTTTTGCACTTGTTGTACAGTACTGTCCGCAAATCAAGAAAGAAAAGATTTAGAACAGACAGATATATGCATCTATATTATGATTTGTCTTTCTCGTGTTGTTCTTCGCCGTGCCTGCCTTCCCTACTTTGCGTGTTGTGAATAAACTTCCATTTTCCAAACTGTTGGCTATAGGCGATGAGCTGGATTGGATATATATATATCTATCTATCCTATAGTCCGCCAACTAGACGACCCGGACTTAGTGATGTCAAGGCAGGGAAAGATCCTCCTTTAGATTCGGATAGACTCTTGTTGTACGAGACATGACACCATTATATATAGGTCAGCGTCAGCACACAGTGCGCAACGAATCATTGACTTGCGTGTGTTTAAGACGGTCCTTGGTTGTTTGCCGAAAAAGACAAATCGGAGAGAAGAACGTCAGAAATCCCCCAACTCACCCGTCTTGACGACTTTTTGCAAGTCCTGCTCTACGCCCCAGACGTGTGCCCTGAGATCCAAGAGCTCGAGGTGGAGACCGTCCTGAGCGTCGACGAAAGACAATTGCAACGATGGAAATGCAGATTCAATCAGCGCACACGCCTTCCAGCCTGGGATCGATTCCTCCGCGAGCAAGGCATATGGTGTGCGAGTCGTGTAGCACGGTGTTGTTGTATGATGGTATGACACAACAGATGCCATCGAGATCGAGACCATGTCAAGGAGCCATCTCATCCACGCAGGTAAGCCACGGAAGGTGTCTCTTTTTCATTCTGTGTGTGGGTGTGTCTTCGAGCTTGCGAGAGGAGCAGAGCATTCTTTCAGTCAAGCTGATCACGACAACTCACGTAGACCTTCTTCATCTCCCCTCGGACTTTGGTGACGTCGTCCTTGACCGCTCCGGCGTTCTTGAGAGCCGCCAATTCCTTTTCTACCGTCTGCAGTCGCTCGAGGTGGGACGAGACCTGCACCGAATCAGGAAGTGACGTTTTTTCGTTGTACCGCATGTCAGCATTACTATACGTTCATATGATATGCCAACGAGGATCATATCACTCTCAAGGTTGGCTCGATGCCAACGATCCCGGTCATGACAAGAGTCTGGATGGACCCGACCGGACTCACCTTGCCAGTGCCCTGCTGCAACTCCTCAACGCTGGCTAATAACAGTCCAGAGGCGATCTTGTTCTCCTGCTGGAGATAGTAGATCGAGAGGGCAGAGGCGAAGGAGAAACCGAAGAACTGCAGGGATGAAGGGAGTCACATCAAGTCAGATGATAGGACAACGTTGTCGGTTCATAGCACCGCAAGCGAGAGGGGAGCCGAGCAATCCTCGTATGAGATGACATTGTCAGACGTCGAGGACACCGGTAGTGAGTGGGATGAGCGGTGACAATACTCACAAAGCCAAGAATTCTATGCGAAGATCAGGCGAGTATTAGCATTCTGCACTCAACTCAACTGATGCAACAGCCTACAGCCTAAAGAGCCAGTCTGGCTGTGAACTCACCCTCCTCTGCAATATCATTTCGCCGAAATAAGAATTCGCACCATCACTATGTCAGCAATTTATCCTAGCAGTCTTGATATACATCCTTCTACTCTTGCGAGATGATCCATTCACCTGAACCCGCCAACAGGTCGCTTAACGACGACATTACCGACCGTTCCGACAGCTTCGGCGGATTCCTGACGAGCGACGGCAGAGGTGGACAGGGTCCTGATGGCTGCTCGAGTCAATGCTGAAGTGGGCGTTCGGAGCATCTTGCGTGGGGGAGCGGAATGCAAGATCGGAGGTTGGAAGATGATGAGTTTTGTCTATGCAAAGCTTTCGTTTTGGTTGTGAGAAGCAAGTTGGCGAGGGATTAGGATGTTTCGGTTTTCGGGTGAATAGGGGGAAGCCATGAGGGGAATGTGGTGGTGGTGGTGGTGGTGGTGGTGGTTGTAGCGTGTATAGCGTATCCTTGTATCCGTGCCTGTTTACTCGGTTTCACCACTGTACGAGTTGAACGAACAATAACCCATCATTGCCGATCTCTTTTCGCTCTTATTCCTCTTTCGAATACGCTGTTCTCATCGTCTCATCGACTCTACAAATACGCTGCAGACGGCATCTTGACGACGACCGCAATGAGCTGAAAAAGATGGACATCGCCATCGCTTCGTCTCCTGTCACGATCCATGCCGACGCTGCAACCCCTGTAGCGTCCACTTCGGGATATCCAGCACCTCCCCCTCCCCCGGGATATCAGCAGCAAGTCGGTCAACATGCCAGACAGCTTGTCCCTTCGAGTCCACACGTGAATGCCCACGCCCATCCTCAGCAACAGCAGTATCAATCACAACAGCAGCAACAGCACCAACATCTGCAACAATACCCGCAACCTTACGGTCAACCTCAACCACAACTCCATACCCAAGCTCAGGCTCAGGCTCAGGCTCAGGCTCAGGCTCAGGCTCAGCAGCATCAGTACTATCTCGCTCACCAGCAACAGCAAGCCCAACTCCAACTGCAGATTCAACATCAACAGCAGTTGCAATTACAGCAACAGCAATGGCAGCTGCAACAACAACAACAGCAGCATCAGCACCAACAAGCGAATCTCGCCAATGGACATGTTCCGCAACAGTCAACAACGAGAGGTCGAGGTCGGGGCAGGGGTAGAGGCGCTCGCGGGGGAGCAGGGGCAGCCAGCGGTAGAGGTGGCGCGGCATCTGCTGCTGCCAATGCGGGTGCCGGCGGGAGACCGGCGACACCGCCGTTCGTATATCTCCAGAGGCCCAGCAACGCCGGTATGATAGGCGGACCGGGCGGTAATGGTGTTGTTGCGAACGTAAACGTGAACGGAGGCAGTCCATCATCCACCGATTCCGAGTCACTCCCCTCGAACCAT